TCACCCTGCCTCACATTTAAGGCTTATAGGCACTTATTTGGGCTCACATCCATGCCAATGATTCCTCACCAAAATTCAGATGTGGCGTCAATAGTTCTTTAGACCTCTGCACATCTGTCACCCACCTTGCCTCGCATCATGTCTCCAGAGCACCAGGGCTGAAGATTGCGCCAGTTCCCAAGATGCCACCACCTCTGGAGCTGCCAAACCATGAATAGGAACAGTATCACAATATTCCCTGTACTCTGGAGGCAACTGCTGCCACAGTGTCTGCAGGCGAGGGAATGGGTCAGCTGCCCCCAGAGAAGCTCCTTGTCCCCCGTAGCCCCAAGCAGGCCCTCCAGCAACCAGTCCATTTTTCTCAGCCTAGTGGCAGTTTATCTTGATGTCATCACTGTGTCACAGAACAAAGAATCCCCAACCCCCACATGCCTAACAGGCTTCTCTCTGAACTTAAGGTTAAAAAAAAAATGTGTCCATGAAACAATTCATTCTTCACACTGAAACCTGGGCGATCCTCTTTTGTCTTGATTGCCATGGTCAGAATTATACTTCCATCATTGTGGTTCTACTATTTCCAGAAAGGCGTATGCATGCTGGTATAAAACAAAGAAAACAGATATCCACTATAGTCCTCCCTAACTTCCCCATTTTGGTTTCTGGCCCAGAGCTATATCATTATACTTTTATGATTTATGGCATATCTTGAAGTATGAATGCAGGTCCTCTGAAGGTTGGGGAAGAGTCTGGATGGGGCCCAGAGAGGGATCTTGAAGAGGGGATCTATGGGTGACCCAAACACCTGTGTGGATAGACCATTCAATGATCTACCGTGTTTCCCCAAAAAGAAGACATCCTCTGAAAATAAGACCTACTTACAGGTTTCCTTCTGAGTGAAATATAAGGCATCCCCCCAAAAAATAAGGCCCCCCTAGCTCTGTCTCAGAATGCTATTGCTAAACATGAGAGATTTGGTCCACTGATTCTGAAAGAAATGGAGTCACAAGAAATTCACCAGGAAATTCAGGATTGGATTGTTATGATGATGTTCCAGAAGATGATGACATGATTGTCATTGAATAAATGAGTAAAGTCTTGATACTGTAGGATTCACAGTTTGTCTGGTTTGTGTTGACAACTACCGTCCTACCGTACCGTATACAGGTAATAAATTTCCTTTATTTTCATTTAACAATAAATGTGTACCGTATTCTTCTTCATGAAAAAATAAGACATCTCCTGAAAATAAGACCTATTGCATCTTTGGGAGCAAAAATTAATATAAGACACTGTCTTATTTTCGGGGAAACAGGGTAGACTCTCAATTCCTAGACCTTTTCATCTCAGAGTCCTTTACCTCTGCTCCAATCCAGCTGTGGTCATATCTGAAGCCTCATCATTAGGAACTGCTTTGCCTTCTGACATCCCATCTTCTGATTTGTCCTAAAGATGACGATTCAGATTTGTCCTAAAGATGACGATTCTCCAACCTTGTCAGGACATCCATTCCATTGATTTTTCCACTTTCTCCCTCTCCGTGAGCAGCCTCTTGCTTTCATTTCCTCCCTCTCCACAATAGACTTCATAGTCAACCTCCCAGGCTCTTCTCAACTCATTCTCCTTTCATCATTTCTACCTGGCAAAATCCCAACTCTGCCTCAGCCAGACCTGCCCTGCAGGAAGTGGCTCGGCGCTATTGGATGAAATCACACGAGTGAGTTGGTGCCCCCTATAAACTCACAGTCTGCAATTAATGATTAGCTCCAAGCATCACTTGAAAAGCATTTATTCATGAATTCCATTTATTATATTAAGTGCCTGATGTGTGCTAGGAACTGGTCTCAGTATTGGGAATACATTGTTAATCAAAAGAGGAAAAGCTCCCTGCCTGTGGTGCTTACATCATTCCTTAAAAAAACACTTTCTGCCGAAACTGGTTTGGCTCAGTGGTAGAGCATCGGTCTGCGGACTGAAGGGTCCCAGGTTCGATTCCCGTCAAGGGCATGTACTACATTGGTTGTGGGCACATCCCCGGGGATGTGCAAGAGGCAGCTGGTCGATGTTTCTCTCTCATCGACGTTTCTAACTCTCTCCCTCTCCTTCCTCTCTGTAAAAAAATCAATAAGATATATTTAAAAAAAACCAAACAAACAAAAAAAAACACTTTCTACTAAAAAATCAACTCAAGCCTTTTTCACTTTTGTCAACTTCTCTTTTCCTCGGAACTCCCCCCAAACCCCCCACCCCCAAGCTGATGTGCCAGACCTCCACTTAGCAAGAGGAATCAGAAACCATTTCCTGCTACAGTGAAAGCTGTCTCTCTGGGAGGCCTTCCTTAACCCCCACCCCCCACCCCTACCCTGCCAAGCTGGGCTGGGTGCCCTTATCCTCTCCGCCCCCACCAGTACTTTCCACACTAGATTGTAGCTTATGTGTCTTAATTATCTGAGGGCTGGGACCTTGTCTACCCAGTACCCTGCCTTAACTCCAGCATCTGGTGTTTAGTATCAGTAACTTCTGGGCGAATGAATGAGAAATGGGCGAGATTTTTGTTGCGAGGTGGGGCCTGCAGCAGGAATCTTCCTCTGGCTTCCAGGTGGCTAACTCAGGAGGCAGCACCTCTGGACGCCCAAAGCAGCCTCCTTCGCTTCCTTGATACCAGAGGTGGGCAGTTAAGCTCAGCTGAGATTTTGATGGGACTTTTCAGATGCCCCAGGGCCCTTCCCGCTGTGGGACTCCCCCACCTCGGTTGGCGGGGGCTGTGGATAGGCCGGCTGCGCGCAGGATCCACGGCAGAGCTTCAGAGCTTTGATGTCTGGCCTCAGCCCCCTTTGCTGCCCAACTCGCTTTCCCTCTGCCTCCCTGTCCCTTCCCTTCTCCCTTCTTCCCTTCCTCCCCCTTTTCCTCCTCTATCCTTCTCCAAAAGGACGCTGAGTTAAGGGCCTGGCCAGCGGCCCACCTCCACTTGCCGCTCGGACACGGTCTTGTCCCCTGCCAGTACCTGAAAATGCAGCGACTGGTCAGCAGACAGTGAGATTCCCAGAACCGCCCTCTGGAGGGGTCAGTGTCTCAGACTTTGCCTGCCAAGCCAGCTCCCCCAGAAGGGATGATGCCTACAGTCCTGGGAGAGTTGTTTCCTTTTTTCTTTTTTAAAATATTTATTGATTTTTTTACAGAGAGGAAGGGAGAGGGATAGAGAGAGAGAGAAACATCAACCAGCTGCCTCTTGCACACCCCCTACTGGGGATGCGCCCGCAACCAAGGTACATGCCCTTGACCAGAATTGAACCTGGGACCTTTCAGTCCGCAGACCGATGCTCTATCCACTGAGCCAAACCGGTTTTGACCTGGGAGAGTTGTTTCAAAGCAGTTGGAAGGAGCTGTGAGGGTGGGGGTGAGGGTGGGGGGTACAGGGGGAATGGTGGGTGGAGGCCAGCCTAGCCCCCTCAGGGCAGTGTCAGTGGGCAGGGGTGAGGCTGAGTCCTGATGGGCAGAAACAGGCTCCTGATCGAGCGGAGGTCCACTGTGGTGAAGGGCATTCTAGCGGACAAGGACATTCTAGCTTCTAGAAGGGAGGGAAATTCAAAGCAGTTGCCTTCGAATCTCAGGCATTGGTATTTTACTGCATTTTTTGGCAGGCTACTATGTGTCAGGTCCTGTGTCTGATAGAAACACTAGCCAAGTCCCACACAAATTGGACAAAATATTACTGTTTGATTTGAAATACCTTTCCCCATGATGAATGTTTATACTGAATTTAGAAGATATGAGAAAGTACAAGGAGGAGTCCCATAAACTTCCAAAGTCAAAATAATTTCCATAGCATTTTTATGTATTTCTTTCCAGACATCACTATTCAAATTTTTACATTGCTTAAATGAGCAGGTTTTTGTAAGGTAGGAAAGCAGTTTATATTTTAGCATAAACCTTTTCTACACACTATAAACTCTTCCTAACAATTTTTAATGACTGTGTTACTCTCCAAAGTAGGATCTCTGAGGCAGTGCGGTAGCTATTTATGTGGTTACTTATTTCAGCACTGACTTCTATGAGCTTATCTCATAAATCCCAGTTCTTGCTAAACATCCCTGAGCTCCTTTTTCCACAGGTACCCCAGGCCTAATATCTTCATAACTTAGGTCATTTTCTTTCTTTGACCAATTTGCTCTTCCTGTTGTATCCCTCAAAGTTATTAGTATCATTTAGTCATCCAAGCAAGAAACACAGTAGCCATCTACACTGCTCGCTCTTCATCTTTCCCAGTCACCAACTTTTGCTAATTTCCTCAGCTGTTTCTCAAATCTGTTTCTCTTCCCCATCCTTACTGTCATCCTGGTAGAGAGATAAGAAGGGGGAAGGGAGAAATATCAATGCCAGAGCGATGTCCTGGATGTCCTGACTGGGGATTGAGCCCACAACCCAGGCATGTACCCTCACCAGGGAATCCAACCTGCAACCTTTCAGTGCATGGGACAATGTCCAACCAACTGAGCCACACTAGGCAGGGCCCCTTAGTATTTTTTATATGTAATTTTCTTTACTTTTTGGAACATATTTTGAATAGCTGGTTTAAAGTTTTTGTCTAGTGAGTTCAATGTCTGGGCTTCTTCGCGGTCACTTAATTGATTGCTGTTTTTCTCCCCATGTATGTGTGTATGTGCCAATCTTACTCATTTTTAAAAATATTTTATTTCTTTACATATCTTGTACTTTTTGTTTTTTGAAAATTTTACATTTTTTTTAAAGTGTGTTGGTTATTGCAAGCTCACTTTCTTTCTTTTTAAAGTATATTTTATTGATTTTTTACAGAGAGGAAGGGAGAGAGATAGAGAGCTAGAAACGTCTATGAGAGAGAAACATCGACCAGCTGCCTCTTGCACACTCCCCACTGGGGATGTGCCCTCAACCAAAGTACATACCCTTGACCAGAATTGAACCTGGGACCTTTCAGTCCGCAGGCCGATGCTCTACCACTGAGCCAAACGGGTTTCGGCGAAAACTTTACATTTTTAATAATATAATGTGGCAACTCTAGAATTTAGATTTTCTAGAGTTTGTTGTTACTGTTGTTTGCATAGTGATTTTTCTGAAGTAATTCTGTGAAGTCTATATTGTCTGTTGTGTGTGGCCACTGCTTGGTTAGCTTAGTGGTCAGTTAATGACTGGACAGAGGTTTTATTAAATCATTGGAACTGATGCGTCTTCCAGTCTTTGCTGGGTGATGTATATAATTTTATATGTTTTCATTCTTCTAGGGCTATTTTAGAGTCACTTGCTGAAACACGTCTATTGCAGAGCACCGAAGACAAACCAGAGCTACTCTCACAGCCCTAAACCTGGGGGGACCGTTTACAACACAATGAAGCCAGCTCCTCTAGGGTCTTCCCTCGCTGCTCAGTGAGGCATTGTCCCAGGGGAAAAGGCAAGGGCTGGAAGGTTCTGGTGAAAAGCCTATTCAGTGTCAGTTTCTGTGTGGAGCCCAGGACTAGGTGAAAGTAGAGCGAGCTGTCTTCATGGCACTGGGGACACTGAAGCCCAGTGGGGCATGATCATCATGGGCTGGATCCTAGGGGAGAATCAGGGCTTAGGTGCAGAGGAAAATCAGCACCAGGACAAAGTCTAGGCCTGGGCAGAGCCCTTTGACTAGAGGGCTCCTCTCTACCAAGATCCAAGAAAAGTGACAGGTGCACCCTGCAGCCAGCACAGCATGCAGGCCCTGAAGACCAGAGCTATCTCAGCAGGACAGGTGGCTCAGGCACCAGGACACACATCGCTGGAAAATTAGATTTGAGGATCAGCTACAATGTCCATGCCTCCCAGGGAGCCTGTGTTCCCAGCCAGACCCCCCCCCCCCCCCCACCCAGCATGGACCAAAGATTTCAGGTACCTCCGGCTCTCCTCCTCACTGCCCAGGCTCTTTCTGTGAGGATATGTCTTTTCTAGTCCTCCAGAAAGTCCTCTTCCATCTCCTCCTAAGAGGGAAATTTCTCTCAAAGGAAAATGCTAGTTCATGTAGAGAAAATCTTTTAATTCTCATGATAGCACAGCCTTCAAAGAGGATAGTCTCTGTTTCTCATAAAAAAAAAAAGCATATTTATTCTTTCCAAATAGATTTGTTTCTTCTTATAGTGAGTGGTGTCTTCTGTCTTTGTTGTGTGGAGTGTATGTTTTAGAAATCCTGGGAGTCTGGGCTTAGAGGAAAGAAGGAATCAGCTTCACCTTATTCTGAAGTCCTGTTTGGCTTCTCAAAGGGGACCAGGGCCCCAGAGGAAGGTTGATATTGGCACTGCACACCCACCGCCAGCCCAGGTTCATTGCTTCTGGTCAGGTGATTATATATACTAGAGGCCTGGTGCACAAAATTCATGCACAGGTAGGGTCCCCAGGCCAGGCCGGTCATCAGGGCTGATCAGGTTCCCTGCCTCCCCACCTCCTCCTTCTCTTGCTCCCTCAGCACTACTGCTGGTCGCCCGCCATGTTCCACACCACCCCCCGGTTCAAGCGATCGAACTCCCCGTCTCCTGGTCCAACTCCTGAGGGGACACTTTGCATCTTAGCCTTTTGTATGTATAGATATCCGTCCCTGAGGATGTGTTTATTGATTCGAGAGAGAAAGAAAGGGAGAGGGAGAGAAAGAGAGAAACATCAAGAGGATAGTTGCCTTTCATAAGTGCTCTGATTAGAGATCAAATCTCTCTTATGCAATTAACTAGGGATGGAACCGCAATCTAGGTATGTGCCCTGACCAGGAATCGAACCCACAACCTTTTTGGTGTACAGGATGATGCTCCAACCAACTGAGCCACCGGGCTGGGGCTCAGATGCCATATTTTTAAAATATTTTATTTTTTTCATAATACTGTCATTACAAAAAATACAAAAAAAAAAAACTACTATAAAAACATTCAGGGGCTTGTCATAGTGAGAAAACCTAAGGACCCCACCCCAGGACCTTGCTGAAGGAGTCTTACCCTAGATTCTGCACTGTATTGGATCTTTCACAACTCTGGGAGTAGGGTGGAGTCACACAGGCATCAAAGGGCTGGAAATTTCCCACACAGCCCCCATGAAGGGTAAGAAAAAAGTAGTTACACATATCACAAAAATGGGATTTGGAAGTTTTGGGGTGGCTAGGCCCTGAGTTCAGAGGTGTGGGGAGAAACCTGTGACCCTGAATCTCTTGCTGGGGAATAGCTGCCACCTGACCCCAAAGCCCTTTCCCTTCCTGATGAAGGCTGGGAGATGGATCCTGCCCCCCTTCCCCCCCCCCCCGTAGCTCTAATGCAGCAGGCCCCCTTCCCCTCCCTCCATCCTTGGACACTCCTGAGAGCAACAGGGAGGACAGAACTGTCAGCTCTGTGGGGTCTGGGCAGGGGAGCTGCCCGGCGGCTGCTGAGGGCCCCGCTCACCTCCCTGCCCCGAATGGGAAGTGTCTCGTGCTCAGTGGCCTGGTTCTGGGCATTCCCTTTCTATCTCAACCGGGGAGAGGCCCGGACAGCTCTAGGCGAGTGCTTTGTGTGTGTGAATGTGTGTGTGGTAGCCTCGGACACTGCGGGCCAGGAGGTGGGGCTGGGGGGGGGGGGAAAGCAGTGTCCTTTCTATCCTCTTCCTCCCCCTCAGGCAGAAGCCAAAGGGAAGGGAGAAGTGAGGCGTCAGCAAAGCTGAGAGGGGAAGGAGGGAATGCTATGTGCAGGCGTGGACAAGGGACCTCTATGTCTTCAAGTAGCACTCAGGTCACTCTCCAGCCACTGGAGTGGGAACTGGATTCAAAGCAAGTGACATGAAAACTGACCCCTGGTCTGGGCTAGTTCTCCCCACCTCCCTCCCACCCCGCAAGGCAGCCCAGCTGTGAAAGGGGTCAGGGGCAGGAACATTTTCCTGAAAACCAGTGGCTTTTTTTTTTTTTTTTTTTTTTTTTTTGCATTTAAAAAAAGTTGCCAGTGTCCAGTGGACATGGAGTTGGGTGCACATCGGGCGGGGCGCGTGGGGGTATTGCTGTGGCGGACGCCGGGCTGGCTGGGGCAGAGCCTAGGAGCAGGGCAGGTGCTGCTTCAGGATCTGCCGTGTCTGTGGTGCTAATCTGTCTGGGAAGCGGACTTTGAATTCCACAATGAGGTCTCCCCGTTGGGTGGGCACCTTGGGGAAGGGGAGGCCCTCCCCACGGAGTCTCTTCACGGTGCCTGGCTTGATGACATCGTTGCAGGGCAAAGGGATCACACGGCCATCGATGGTGGGAATGTTCACGGTACAGCCACACAGTGCCTGGGGAGAAGGAGGCAGACAGTGAGGGAAAGGTGGGGCAGAGTGACTGGGAAGAGAGACAACGATTAAAACGGGGAAAGGATGTCCCTGTCATCTCCCCCCCTCCCCCCCCAATCACACACACACAGCCTGACCCAGGCCGTACCTCCTTGAGGCTGATCAGGGCACAGTAGAGCACGTTGGTACCATCTCGGCGGAAGTGTGCGTGGGGCTTGTCCTTGAGCACAAAGACTATGTCGGCAGGGATGTTGTCGGGGGTGGCATCGCCCTCTTTGGGGAAGGTGATCTTGGTGCCCTCCTTCCAGCCGCGCTTGATAACGATGTGCAGGATCTTGTCCTCGGTGCGCACCGTTCTCCCGTCCGGGTTCAGGCGCCGCCTTGTGATCTTCATGCGCTTGGTGGAGCCGTGGTAGATCTCCTCCAGGGACACCCTCAGCTCGTGCACCACAGGTGGGTCCTGCACCTTGCGCCGAGGGTACAGTGGTTCGGGGGCTCGCCTCGGGCCCCTGCTCAGCCCATTGAAGCCAAAGCGGCCGAAGGCGCCAAATGGGTCCTCGTCATCATCCACATCCATGTCATCTGGATCAAAACCACTGAAGGGTCGAGTGGAGCGACTGCTGGCAAAGAAGATATCGAAGGGGTTGGAGCCACCAAAGAAGGAGGCAAAGGTGGCATGGGGGTCCCCGTGAAAGGTGTAGTGAAAGGAGCCACTGGAGCCACCTGACGAACCACCGCCGGTCTTCAGGCCTGGAGGGAGGAGAAGTTAGGGGCAGTGCGGCTGGTCTGGGCCCCACCCCGCTCTCCTCTCCCTGCTCTCTAGCTCCCAACTCATGGACCTAGAGCAGTGTTTCCCAGAGGGTGGTCCGCGGACCCCCAGGGGCACGGGAAGAGTTTGGTGGGGATGTGCACTGCACCGTGCTTGGCTGCGCCTAATTCTACGTTCTCATGAGGACGAGGGGTACTCAGCGTTACGGAAATTATAGAAGGGGTGCACGTATGTCAAAAGTTTGGGAAACACTGACCTAGAGAAAGACGAAATCTTTAACTCCCAGAGAGAGGGCTGGCCTAACGCAGTAAAGAAAGTTCTCTGGCAAGAATAAATTTTACTCTTAATTATATTTTTAATAAAGCACATCAGAGGTTCAAAGAGGCTGAGTTTCCCAGTGGGGGGGGAAAGCTAAGAGTAGAAGTCTTTGGAGGATGTGACTTCCAGTCCTGTAATCTCTCCCATGTACTCATGACCCAAAGATGTCTCCGAGCTCTGAGTGGCTGGCGGCCTGGGTCACATTACAAGTCATATCTGGCTCTGAGATTTTTGCTTATCTCCGAAGACACACAGAGCATGAGGCAAGTGGGCAAGATTTGATGACACAGAGGCTAGCAAGTGACCTGCCCCAAATAAAGTAGGGATCCGGTCCAGGAGGAAGCCCACTCTTACTCTGCTTCTAGCAGTTTCTTCTTTCCCTGTCGAGGACCAAATGGAAAATAAGGAGGGCTCCCCAAAAGCAGGAAAGCTCATCAGCTTGGAGATGAGGAGCGACTTCTTTAGAAAAAGTTTTCAAATGCTTTGTTCCCATAGTCAGGGCTCACAGTATTGCACAACTCCAGGGGGTGCCATTCACACATTGGATAGTCATAGGCTACCATGGGAATGGAGCTCCCTGGAGTTATGTAACACTCAGCCTTACCCCCTCACACTTAATGTCAGAGCAGCCAAAATGAATGAATGAGCTGGCACATGGTGGGTGGGGACCCCAGCTGCTCTTGCTGGCGTTAGGTCCTGTCTAAGGAGGCGGCCTTAATGGGGGGATGGCAGTGGTGAGGATGGGGACAGTAGGGCACAGAGGAAGGATCGAGGTGGGGATTAGAGAGAAGTGATCTATAACATGTAGACTTAGGGTGGAGCCCACGCTACGGGAAGGGACTCTTTTTCTTAAAACTCTTTTATCTAGAATTTCAATTGGCTCTGAGAGCCAGAGCCTAAATTAGCCTCTTATTAGATTTGGATTTCATGAGAGAGGCCAAGTGGCAGGCAGTTCAGAGACTTGTGGCAGCTGCCTTTTCACCTCTTCCTTAAGACGCGGGGTCTGTTCTTTCCTTCTGTGGAGGGGTGATTATCAGGTGAGTTCAAGAAGCTTGGCACAGCTCAGCAAAAGAGGGAGGTTGGACTAATGACAACAGGAAGGGGTAATTTCTCTGTGGGGATTCCTGATGTACCACTAACCACCCCCTTTTCGAGCTGGGAACAACTTGTCCCCAGCCAGGGCTGAGTACAGAGTCTTTGTGCACAACGGTTCTGTCTGGTTGCTGGGGAGGAGGCAGGGCGGACAGAAATATAACCCCCATTTCCAAGGCTGCTTTTCCCTCCCCAGGCTCTGGCTGTCTCCTTAAGGCTGTGCTGCATCCTCCCGGGATGCAGATCTGCTTTAGAAGCCAGGGTCTGGGCCTAGGGGCTGAGCTTTGCCCTTCACTTAGGCTGGGTCACGCAGAAGGGTCACTAAGTTTCCAGCTCTCATCTTCTTCCTAAACAAAGGTGAGGCAGGTGGAGGAAAAAGTGCAATTCCCAAAAAGGTCACATGGTGGCATAGTGTCTGCAAGGAGACCCACTTTCCCCGCCTCTACTTCTCCCATTCCTCCATCCCATCCCAGAGAAAAAACACATTCTTAGCTGAGAGAGGACTGGGGAACCCAGAAGGCGCCTGGTGAATCGGGGAGTTGGTATGTGAGCTGGGGAAAAAAAACGGAAGGAACTAGTGGCATGGAGATGTAAGAGAGGGGGCTGGGAGGACTGGGGTGCCAGAAGATAATGGCATGGGACACAAAGCAAGGAGGAGGACAGGAAACTCTGTATCAGGCACAGTGCACATGGCTAGCCTATCTAATGTGAGGCTACAGTGAGGAGAGTAAAGGGGAGAATGTAAAAGAAAGGTGCACGCAGTCAGGGAGGAAGGACAGCTTCTCCCGGGAAGGAGAGTCCTCGGCTGTGACTATGTCTCTTAATATAGCCTGACAGGTGCCTGTGGCTGGCGGGTGGCAGGCAGCCCTGAGGGGCAGGCCCAGAATTAGCTGCTACATCATGCCCGTGGGATGTGCGGGGAGGGGCCGCCCTCTCAGAGGCTTTATTTGGGCCTTTCCTGCCACCCTGTGCGTGGCCACCAGCTACCCCCGGGAGGGGCCAATATGCCAGCAGCAGTTTTCCTTCCACCCTTGGATCCCTGCCTCTTCCTCAGGGAGGCGAAGCCGTGCCTCTATTCTGATGGCCCGAAGCGGGCAGGGAGCGGGCGGAGAAAGAACAACCCAATCTCTAGCTCAGTGCTCCAGTGGCTAATTCCCAGGCTGCTGAAGGGTCAAACTTTTATGCTGATGGATGTGAATGCTCTGAGAGCCATACACTCCCTTTCCCTAACCGTCCTCGTCAGCCAATGGAGCAGCAGGGACTTCAGGCAGGACTAATAAGGGCTGGGAGGGGACAGAAGGAGGGGAAGGCCCCTGGTTTGAGCTTCAGACCTCGCTAAGGCCTGAACTTAAGCAGGGAGAGGGGCGGACAGGGGTGAGGGGGAGCTATGGGAAGCTGAGGCTGGGAAGTGGGTGGTCTCTTCTTTCCTCTGGGTGTCAGCCTGAGGAACACGCGCCTCCCTCCCCCCTCCTCAGTCTCCAGTCCCCACTTATGAGAAATGGGCCACGGAGGACCCCAGACCAGGACAGGGTCCGACGTCAGGCTGGAGCGCCCCTCTCTTACCTTCCTCCCCATACTGGTCATAGAGGCCTCGCTTCTTAGGGTCACTCAGCACATCATAGGCCTCTGCAATTTCCTTAAACTTCTCCTCAGCGTTGGGTTCTTTGTTCTTGTCTGGGTGGTACTTCAAGGCCATCTTCCGATAGGCTTTCTTGATCTCATCCTCATTGGCTCCCGATGGGATCCCAAGAATCTTGTAATAATCCTTTCCCATCACAGCCACTGGGCCGGCACTGGTCTCCTTGTTTCTGAAAGAAATCCAGGGCCGATCCTTGGTGCCTCTGTTCCCTTCTGCCCCAGCCCTGCTCCTGACGATCCTGCAATCCCTAAAAGTCACTGCGTGACTTTTCTTGTGGGCCTCTGTCTCCCCATCAGTAAAAACAAAGGTCTGGGACTAGTTGATCTCTTCCAGCTTCGGCATTCTAGGATTCTGTGATTCTTTCCCCAGTTCTTGGGTTTTCCCGGCAGCAGGCGGGGGGCTCTGGCCCCACTTCTTGGAGCTAGGCTAAGGCCCGCATCCTTGGGCCGGACTGAGGACCCCCGAAAGGACCTGCTGAGTGAGGTGGCACCATGGACTGGCAGAGCCACGCACAGAAGCTGGTGAAGATCAATGTCCGGAGTGAGGTCACCTGAGTATCGTGGTCTCCTACGCCATGCCTCAGGCATGGTGCCCAGGCTGAGGGCAGCTGGGGCAGTGGCCTAAGGCCTGGGGACAGGCCTCGATCTCCAGCCAGCTGTTCTGGCCAACCAGGCTGAGTCAGGGTGTGGGGGCCCGGAGTTCTCTCTGCATGGGAGACCCCAGGCCCCCCTGCTCTTGGTCCCCAGGCTATGGTAAGCCTCACGTGTGACTCAGATCAGAGGATGACTCACAGCCCTTTGGAAATGGCCACTTCTAACTCCCTCATGAGGAGGGGGATGATCACTGTCCTTCCCCCAATCAGGGCAACTGTTCCCTTTACTCGTTTCCCAGTGTCTACACTCAGAACTGTGTGTGAAGACATGTCTGTTCGAATGTTAGTGAACAAAAGCATCCTGGTGGTAGGGCCTTTTTAAACCTTAGTTGTTAGGAGGCAATTGGGCACTAGCCACCATTTTCTTAGCACCTTCCCTCTCCCTCACTTGCCCAGTGGTTTAGGATCTGGCCCAGTGCCAGGCCCACACCCCTCTGATAGTCCCTTCTAGGCTGGATGCAGGGGCATTTGTGATATGAGGGAGAAGCATAAACCCCAATCCTTCCATGCTACCCCCCTCCACCAATGTCTCTGTGGTGAATATGCAGGGAAGGGAACGTTCCTGTATCTAAAGCTTTTTGGGAGAATGGCCAGAAGCCCTTCTCCAGCCCTACTGAGATCTGGCCAACCCCTACCAAAGCCCGGAGAACCAGAGTCTTTCTAGCAATGCCCTGGGCTGGCAGCTACAGCTAAGGCTGCTTTTCTGCCTCTGTGGGCACAGGGTTGTTCAGCGAGGGGTTCAGGGTTTCCTGGCAGGAGTGGGGGCTATCTATAATTCGTAAGAGGAGGCCTCAAGACTCCAGGTAGGTAGGGACCATGGCCCTAGTTCCTGCCCCCACAGGGCCTGTTGCAGGTGGCTGGGTTGACTCATGGTTCTGGGAGTCACCTCACTCTGACAAAGAGAAGGCTCCCAAAAGATGGGTTCTCCCCTCCTTCCCCCTATCAGTATGTCACGGCTGGTGGGGGAGGCGGGGGTTGGAGGAGGCAGAGAAGAAAGAGCAGCTGGGGGAGGGCAGCCATTTTCGGAAGCAGCAGTCAAAGCCTTCTGAGGGGGGGCTGGGGGTGGTCTGCTCTCTCTGCCTTGGCCCACACCTTCTTTCCCCGGGGGCTGGGAAGGAATCCCAGCACACCACCAGGGTGCCCCCAGAGAACTATAGCAGCCTCTAGGCAGAGGGCAAATGAAAGACTTGCCAGTTCTCCCACCATCCTCTTGATGTCCCTGTATTACCTCTTCATCTGGCCAGCTTCCTCCCTGGCACCCACCTGCTAGCTGTTCTAGATCTATAATTCTCTTGCCTCCACAGACACAGGGTGTTCTCTTTCCAGAACTGCCCTTTTCTCCCTCCCTCCCCCTACCCAAAAGCCACGCGTTGGAATGACAAAGGAGCCCCGTGGCATGGCACTGCCTTTGATGGAGAAGAATAAAGAGGAGGCCGATGCTGAGGCAGGAATGGAAAATGAGGAGAAATGGCCAGGGGGACTGGTCCAGGGAGGGGAGACGGCTGATACAGAAAACAAAGTACTGATGGAGTGGGGTGAAGGGTGACAAATGGAAGTGGCTGAGGTTCAAAATGGGTGACCAGTGTGTTGAGAGAGAGATGTAGAGAATTAACACTCCGGAGATGTTTGTGGGAAAGAAATGGATGCCTGAAGGGTTTGAGATGAATGGGAAGGGGTACACTTCACTCACATGTAGGGGTGAGGTAGAAGGCACTTATATGTAACGGGAATGAGATGAGGATGAAATGGAGGAGGCGGGTAGGCAATGGAAGGGGGACATGAGGTGGAGAATTTGACTTGACATGGGCACGGGTGCCATTCTCCGGAGGGACTTACCGAAACTTTACAAACCCATTCAGCGTCCACGCTCGAAGTTTTAAGGGCTCCAGCTGAATTTTAAACATCAAGCTGGCTAAGAAGTCTTCTCCCCAGGAGTGTGGGAAGCTCCGGAAAGCTCCTCGGGCCTGCAGTGGGGCTGCTGCTGGGGATGGGCAGGAGAGCACCGAGCGCTTAAACATGCCCGGCCCAGCACCTCGCCTCTGCTCGCCCCTCGGGAGCCTGCGTGGATGGCTGCAGCTCCGGCAGGCAGTCACCTCCTCAGGTTCTCAGAGGCACTTACCCAGAAAGGCCTGTCCGGTGCAACAGGAGCTGGACCTGAAGCCCAGGCGTGGAGCGGGAAGGGATGGGGTCCAGGGGCCACCTGCTCTTAGGTGCGGCGGCAATGCCTGGCTGGTTGTGAATGGCTGTGTGACAGTGTGACAGTAAGGCTGGCAGTGAGAGCGTGTGTGAGTGTGAGTGTGAGTGTGAGTGTGTGTGTGTGTGGCAGCGTGTGTACCTGTGGCAGGTGTGATTGTCAGCGAGGGCCTGAGAAGCACCAAGTTCCCCTGCCTCTCTATCTATGGGGAGGACCCGACCTCAATCCAATCCCCAAGAACCTGCTCAATGAAGTCACTGGCAGGGAGTCTCCTCCCTCGCAGAGGCGCGGGGAGGGGCGGGGCAGAGGCAAGCCCCGCCGGGAGCCGGGACAAAAGGCGCGGCGAGCAGGGAGCGGGGAGAGGGGAGGGGAGGGGGCGCGGGCGGGGGAGGGGGGTCGGTGATGTCACCGGCGCTGGGTGGCTGGGCCGGCTCAGAAACGCCTCCTCCCGGCGGAACCCAACCCAATCCTACCCGGCCCGGCCCGACCCTCCCCAGGCCCATACGCTGGCCGTGCCCTGGGAGGGGGTCGCGGACCACGAGCCCCTTGCAGAGCCCGAGTCCCCGCCACCCTACGGGCAGGAGAGCCGATGGGCCCTCAGTGTGGTCCTAACCCCCGGTCCCCGAGGCCCCCTGACTCCGCGACGCCCACCCTCCCGGGGTCCCCGCGTCCTAGGTCGGCGCCCTCACCGGTGAGGAGCGGCGGGCGCCTCCGCGGTCCGTCTGACAGCCGCTGCCCCCTCCCCCGGCTCCGGCTCCGCAGCCTCCGCTCGGGACAGGAGTCGCCTGCCCGGCGGCCGCAGACAGCGGGCCCGGGGACCCGCCCCCACGGCTCCGCCCCCACGCCTCCCATTGCGCCGCCTGCCCGTCACTCAACGCCAAGCTCTGTTGTGATTGGTCGGTTTTCTACGAGTGGCTCGGCGAGAGCCGCCCATTCTCCATCCCTGTCACCCGGCCACGCGCGCACCCACTCCCGGCCGCGATTGGCGGGGGTCTGATTGGTGCACCCGGGGATCAGTCACCCACGCCTCCCTCCCCGTCATTGGCGAAGGGGCCAGAGGGTGGCCGCCCCGCGCGCCCTTTGATCTTATTGGTTGGTCTGTGGGGGCTCAGGCCGAGGTGGGGTGCGCCCCTATATTAGTCCCATCTCCGGTTTGGGGCGTGCTGGCCACAGCTGGAATCCCGGGAGAACCTTCTGGAACCCGTGCAATGCCAAAGGTAGCCTTAAAGGAAAAGGGCGCCCACCAGCTGGCGGTGCCCCCGGGCACTTTCCCTCTCCCCATTTAGGAGGGTAGGAGAGAGAAGAGTGCACTCTGGGAGGTGTAGTCTCTGGAGGAGAGTCAAAAGGTCATCCCTTCTTAACCTGTTTTTTTTAATTTATTATTTTTTTAAATTTATCCAACCGTGATCTGTCTTTGACCTGACCTGATTTAGCTTTACCTGACGTGACCTTTCAAAACAGGCCCAGGAGACAACGCAGAGTTTAAGTGCCCTCTGCTCTCCCTTGTCACCTGGGGGTTCTCCCCACGTGTAGCGCCTCCCCGATTCCCCTTCTGAGTCCCCTTTTCCTTCTCCATAATCCCCACATCCTAGCAGCCTCCTGCATGAGCAGCCCACCGTCTCCATTAAACTTCTCTCTCTGATCTTTCATCCCACCTTCCCTTTGAATTCCTATATGTTACACCCCAACCCTTTACTTTTCCCTCTTCTTGACCCCATATGATCTCTAGTCTTCCCCCTCAAGATCTTCTGGCTTATCCTATTCTTAATTCTTTCTGCTCCTATGATCTCTCCCATCCTCGCTCCCCGCCTTAGCCCTTCATCTGAGCTCCACATGATCTCCTTTATTAACACCCTCAGAATCTTACATTTCAGTCCCACCCCACCCCCCTTCCCCCATTAAATCTCAACCCGGTGTCCCCGCTGTTCAGAGCAGGCAGGGCTGCGGGGGCGGTCACCAGCGGAAGCCGACGCTTGAGCAGACACGGTGCCTGGCGCCCACGTCACTGTCTCCCAGGCCCATCTGTGCTACCGAGAAGCGGGTGGAGGTGGGGGGCGGGGGGGGGATGGGGAGGAGGTAACCTCTGGGTGAAGAGGGAGAAGGAATTCTTGGAGGGTTTGAGGACAAAGGAAGGGCCAGGGTAGATGCTCTCACCTCTCTTTCTTGGCCATTTTTTTTCAGAGACAGAGTTTGCACACCCATGAGGTCGTGCAAACTGGATAGAGCTGGAAACTGAGGCTTATAGAGCATCAGTACCTAGGCTACAGAGCAGAGCAGCCTAGGGGTACTGCACAGTCTCCACCCCCTGTCTTCTTTCTGTGCTCACTGTGGGTATCCAGGTGAAGAAGTGTGAGGTCTCAAGAAAGGGAAGGAAGTGAGGGGATGCAGAGGAAGTGGGTTTGGGGGATAAGGAGAGAAGGACAGGAAGATAGGGTGAGTGGGGTGAAAAAAGGTGGGGAGGGGAGATACAGTTGAAGATGAGAAGGTGAGAAGGGGAAGTAGGGAACAAGGAATAGAAGGGAGGGGAGATGGGGTGAGCAGCAAAGGGGTGGGAGAGATGGAGTGAGGAAGAGTGAGGCGGGAAGGGGAGGTGGGGTGAAGAGGGCATGGGATAGTGTGACATGGAGATGGGCAAAATAGGGTAAGGGAGCCAGGACTGGTGCTGTCTCCTTAGATCTGGAGGCTCTCACTCCCCTAAGTTCCGACTCATGGGGGCCTGGTTGGTGAGTGGCTGTTTTCTCCTGTTCCAGTTGTGTATTTGCCTCCTCCAGCCTTGCCTGTGCCAACACGGAGGCAGAAAATGTCGCCACCCGCCTTTCACCTGGTCCTTGTGAATGCTGACTTGTAGGCTGAGCACTCTGAGGGTTCAGGGCGGTACTTCCTGGTGTTGTCTGCTGGGTTCTCTATCGCTGCCCTCTGTCTCATTGCCCCCGGTATGTCCAGCGTGTTGTGTGAGGGATCAGGGTGAGGCCTAGGGCAGGAAAATGGAAGCTCTGGAGACTGATGGTCGACCTCATGGAGTTACTTGCTACATCTGTGCCTCATTTCCTTCTTTGTAAAATGGGGATGAACAACAGCAGTACCTTAGAGGATTATTGTGAGGGTTAATTAAGGTAACACATGATGCACCTTGCCTGAAGGTTCACAGATATCTGGGTGTGTGAGTGCATTTGTGAATGGTTGTCTAATTGGGAATTATTTGTACTGTTATATCTATAATGTGACTTGTGAGTAAGAGTGTATGTGTGTGATTAGTTTTGTGTGGTAGTGAGCCTGATTCTGTGTTCTTTGATGTGGGTGTTAGTGTGCATGTGTGTTAGTGTGCACGTGTGATTAAATGACTGTGTAAGCCTGTGTCTAGAAGACAAAGAGTGGATGAAGTGAGGTGTCATGGCTGTTGACACACTGACATTGAGTCTGCATGCGTCTGTGATCTTGTCAGTTCCAAACACTCCATTTACCCTCCCTCCCTGTGGGGATGTCATAATCCTAGGTGTCCCTCGTTTCCTCACCCTGAAGGAACCGGAAACGTGGGGGCACAGATGGGGGTGGGTGCCAATGGGGAGGTAGACAGGAGCACATGTTCCGCCCCAGACTGTGTATGGGAGGGGGGACCCCCTATCTTGCACATACCCTAAAAGCTTCAGAGGAAGTGCTCCCCCTCCATCCCATGCTCAGTTCCCTGTCTTGTTACCATGGCAGCAGTTGCCAGGGGCTCCCTTGGTTGCTAAGGTCTGGGTGTGGGAGGCTGCCAGGCACTGTTGCCAGTAGAAACAGAACCCTGGGAGAAAAGAAGACTACCCCCACAGCTGCCAGCTCTCTGCCGTGACAGGACTAGTCCTTTGACTTCTCCTGTCCCAAGATTGTACTCATGATTTGTATGTGACAGGACTAGGGCTGGTCGGGGGGCTTTAACAGGAACTAGAAACGGAGATTTACCTTCTGAGGAGAAAGGGGGCTCTCGCCTGTCCATTACTATCTTTAAGTTATAAGGGGTCTTTAGAGATTAGTGACTACCTCATTCTGTTCCCCTATACCTTATATTTATCCCCTGGCAATATCTGTGCTTGCGTTTTTCAGAGCTCGTGCTTATCACTGGATGCTTCCACCTGGAACAGGAATGCTACATTGATCCCATTACCCTGGATGCAGACCTACTTCTTCCTGAGGTCAGACTCATAGCATCTCACCTGGATACATACTACAGTACATGCTGACGCCTGAGTCTAGACTTCAGTCCCACACTGAGTCCTAATTCTGGCCTTCATCTTAATCCTGAACCAGACAATTTGCCAAACCCTGTCTCAGTCTCAGCTCTCTTCCTAGACTTGGATGAGCCCTTATCTAGATAGATTTTCGAATTCATCTGAGGATTCAGTTCTGATCCTGTACTCTGATTGAACAATGACCAGCCATTAACTCCCTGGTACTTGCCTGGCATCTCCCTGCATGTTCTAAACCTACACTGACCAGTGCCATAAAGGCTCAAGGGGTTGTGTCTTGCCTTGGGTGAGAAGACAGTGCAAGGAATGACCAGCAGAGGGCGTGCAACATCAGGCCCTGGAGGCAAGCTTCCCAGAACTTCTGATCATTTATCTCAGGTCAGGACCCTGAGCTGCAGGCACAACAGTTGGTCTAAAAGGTTGAACTAAATAAATTAAAGTCCCTAACTTAGTTATGCTGATGTTTTGGGGGTCATGTAGGTTTGTACAAGCATGGATCTCCCTACAGCTCAGCTGGGCTCAGGGCTGGGCACTCACCAGAAGGTACTTAACCATTTATTGGCATCATAGGTCTCAAGAGTACTGAATACCTGGTGAGGCATCCTTCTCCCCAGCTCAAGACTTCTTTGATATGTGTATAGCTTCATTGCCTTCCCTGATATACGGTTAGCTTTTAGTCCCATTGAGCAGAAATCTGCCTCTACTCCATTTTTGGTCTTAGCTCTGTGTTTGAGGTCACGTTGCCCTTATAAGTCCCATCTGCCAGGTATCATCAGCCTCTGCATCCCTCACATCCACTCTTCTCCAGGCTGAACACCCCTCAGGCCTTCATGGGTTCCTCTTCTGCTTTGTTCCACTCCAGGCACTAAGATCATGCTCCCCTGCCTGGGCTTCAGTTTGTGGAGCCTGATTTAGCTTTTAGATCCCCCCCCCCCCCATGCCAGTGCAGTGTACAAATAGGCCAGCCTGCTCTCTCCTCTGACTCGGAACTTTGTTCCATGTGGCCTCATGTTATATCAGTCTTTTTGTAGCCACCTCATACTGTTCACCCAAACCAATGCAGACTGCAATATCTTTTCTCTCTGAGTCTCCAAATTACATCTGACCCATTTGTACCGGTTATAATTTTGAAAGGAGTGTTATATTTACTCTAAAAACAGAGATACTTGAAATAAATGAAATAAAAACCATTTTGGCAATATGTTTTGAGTTTTGGGGCAATCCCTGGGCTTGGAAATCTCACTTGATGCTTACATAGAGGTGGGACAAGGATGAACTGAAGTGCTCTCTTTGGCAGCACATATACTAAAATTGAGACAATGCAGAGATTAGCATGGCCCCTGTGTAAGGATGACACATAAATTTGTGAAGTGTTCTCTATTTTTGTTTTTGATAAATGTTAAAATGTAAGACTGTAAATTTATTTATAAATAAATTAGTATACTACAAAAGGGGGAAAAGGGGGAAAAAAGAGAGAGAGAGAGAGAGAGGGGGACTGAAGATTCCCAGCTTGATTGGCTGTGACTTCAGCACTGTGGACAGAGGCCATGGCCACATCCCCAGCCCTGCCTATGGGTGGGTAGGAAAATGACAGACACATGGCCTTCAGATGGGGCCAGAAATCCATGCTGCTCTCTCAGTGCCTTGCAGTGTATAAAGCTCTATCCTCTTATCTAACTCATTCTATCCTCACTCAACTATCAGCCTAGGAGGCAGACAGAAGAGAGACCATTTTTTAGATTTTTACAGATGAGGGAACAGGTTTAGCGATGTCAGACTTCAGGTAACTCTTTGGGTGGAGTGGGACAGAGACCACATTGCTCCATGTTTAGCAAATGTAGCAGCTGCTGTTTCCCTGGGGGGATGACTTTCCCTAGAGATAAAAGGGAGTGCCCTGGAGCCAATGCAGGCCAGGGTGGGTGGGAGTTTGGCTGAACCAAGGCTCCAGCCAGCCCTGGAAACATGTGGCAGTTGGTAGGAGGGTTCTGAGGGTTTGAAGTTCCCAGCCAGGACTCAGCCAGAGGGAGGGTAGGGAAATCTTGTCATTTGGGTGTCCACAGAGGCCCATCTTTTATGCCTTTTCCTGTCCCATGCTTTGCTTCCCTGAGCCTGGAGAAAGGAGAAGGGAATTCTGAGATGTCAGTAAGCTGTCTCTGAGCTGGACGGACCTCCATGGGAAACTCCAGGGAGGACAGTATGGGAACCCTGTGAGTGAATGGGTTGAGTTGTGCAGATGGTAAAAAAAAAAAAAAAAAATCCTGTGACATGGCTATCGGCCTGGCTACTTGCATATGCCTATTCCCAGTAGGTAAAAAGGGGAGGTGCTGGACCACACAGCACCTGTTTCTGTGAGGTGTACTTCAGACAGAGGCCATTGGCTGTATTGCCAGCTATGCCTGGAACTGTGGGCAGGTTAAGAACATGGGTACTGAGACCAGACTACCTGGTTCCCCTGCTTCCTAGCTGTGACAGTATAATCTTGAGAAACTTTCAGCATCACTGTCCCTCACTTTTCTTATCTGTAATACAGATCTCATAGGGTTGTTTTTGAAGATGAATTACTTTATGCAAAGCACTTAGAACTTCCCAGTGCATAAAAACATTAACAATTATTTGTATTTGGCTTGGAGGTAGAGAATCTGCCTCTGAGCCACAGACTAGAGATGCTTTCCTGCTACAGGTAATGATTGTGTTCCTTACTGGGTAGAGAGATGAGTGGGGATTCCATAGTCCTCTGAAAGTTTCTCCAGACTGCAGTTAATCAGCCCTATTATGTCTCCTTAAAAGAAACCCTCACACCAAGGAGGGCCCAGAAGACCAGGAGAAAACACAGCCAACTAGCTTCCCTACTTGTGGCTCAGCAGGAACTGGAAAGAGAAAAGTGTTTATAATGGGGCCTTGATGGGAAGGGTGGGGCAGTACAAAGCAGACAGGCAGGCTTGGAAGACTTACCTCTTTCTCAGTTTCTCCAAAAACTCAGGCCTCTTCAGTGCCTCCCTGTTCCCTCTGTGTTGGTGATGGAACCCTTGCCTCCTCCCACTCCCACACATCACCTAGTCCTTGGGAAGGTCAGTGCCAAGAGAGCTTTAGGAAGAGAGCCGTGGCGTACTGTGTTCTTGGAGGCCATAGCTGCTCCTGTCTCATACTCAGACTCAGGAATTGGCCAACGACAGGAAATCACACAGAAACTCACCAGATGCCCCAAACAATAGGAAACAGGAAGCTGACACAGCATCACAATCGCTTTATTATGATTTCCACGGTGTTCACCCCCTGGAGCATCAGCTCCTTCTAGAGTGAAAGCTGAGCGTGGGGAGGAGCATGCAGTTGGGATGATGCGGAGACAGGGCTTGGGGATGTTCTCCTCAGCTCCTGTCAGTTACCTTCCTCAGAGAAGCACATAGGAAGGGCACGAAGGACCACAGGACATAGGATCCCCCATTGTTACTTGAGTGCTCTCAGAACCCACCTCACTCACAAGCCTGAACTTGGCTGGGAGACAGAGCATCGGCCATCTCTTAAAGGAGGCTAAGCTTGAAGGCCCATGTTTCACCAGCTATGGAAAGGCCTTGGTACTTATAACTTGTTCATATCCGTGGCCACACCAACCCATTCTGTACACACTGAGATTGGGCTTCTATGTGGCCCAGACCAGACCTTTCGCCGTCTCCCTGGTCTGGGTCATCGGGGCATGTGGCCCAGAGGGAACAAGGTTTTCCTTAGTGCTCGTTGGGTCTGGTGGAAACTCTATAAGCTGTTGTTGTTGTTTTTTTTGTTGTTTTTTTTTGTTTTTCCTTTCAAGGTTGCCAAAAGCAGTGTGGCAGCAGGAAAGCAACAGCAGAGAAAGTGCCCAGTCCAGGCATGTGCATTAGTATCGTCCACTCAGGGAGATCTCTCTTGTCCAGGCTGCAGGCAAGAGCCCAGAGAGAGAGATCCTGGGCAAATGCAAACTAAATGGCATGGAGATAGTAGCAATTTTATTCCATTGTAATAGAAGAGTGAACGGGATATGGTTACAGGTGTCCTGAAATTGTGGCATCAAGGTTGTTCTGCCTTAGAGTGCCTTTTCTCTGCTGGTGGGAAGAGGACATGCTTGCGGGCCACTAGAGCCTGCTCCAGTCCTATCTGGAGGTTCCTCTTGGCCGTGGAGTGGTCAGGGCTGGTCTGGGGCCCTGCCAGACAGCTTCTGCTGAGCTTCCCTTTGGCTTTAGGGCTTCCTGGCATCACTCTTACTAAAGCTGTGAGACCTGCAGTGGTCGAGGTTGTGCTTTGGCCTAAGAGGCCCAGGCACAATCCTGGGCTTATCCCCCCCCCCCCCCCCTCGTGAGGTGTCCTCTTCCCAGGCAGTTTGATTCTGTGCTTTCCATATTGGTGATAGGAATGGGGGAAGCCCCAGAGTTGGCCACTCAAACAAGGCCAGGGTGACATCCCACAAGGGAGCACCAGGGCCAGAAAGGCCAGTGTCAGCCCTGCAGGCCCAGCCACTTGGGCTGAGGGCAGGAAGAGGCGATGTGCTCATGGCTTTGGCTGCGGCTGTCCTCAGAGGAAGAAGAGCACTTGAGAGTGGGTCAGTACCTAGGAGCGAGGGAACTGCTCCATCCCTGGGATCCAAAGCGGTCATCGCTCAAACGTGTGGAGCCTGGATCTGTTGGGGAAGGCTGGTCTTAGCACAGGAAGCCGCAGAGCAGGCCTACAGACACTGTGTGGCCATAGCTACTGTCTCAGCTGACCCTCTGTGGCTGCAGCTTTGTTGTGTCATCCAGAGGTCCCTGTCCTTAAATTTGAGCCTGGGGAACAGGACTGTTGGGTGATAAACAGGCTTAGGGCAGGTGGTTTTCAGAGGAGCATATCTGTAACTCCAGCTTCTCTAGGTTGGGGGGTGGGGTGGGGAGTTCTTGGGAAAAGCACTGATCTCAGTTTGGGGCTGCCAAGAAAAGACTGAAACGTTTTCTCTTATCCTTATTAGAGTTAGACAGTACTTTTTTTGTGCTTGGCAGAATTTCAGACAGTCACAGTGATGCAAGGGTTTGAAAAGGAAAGAGAACTGAGTTCACTAGGTTTATAAGAGGGCTCCATGGATTAGGACACTACAGAGGGGGGGATCCTGAACAGGGGCTGGGTGGGGCTTCTGCAACACTGGACGGGGAGGTCTGTGGAACCTCTCCTTTGGTAAAACACTAGATGCCTCCAGAGAAGAAGCTGGTTGCTTTTCTATGCTTTTCTGCTTCCTGGGACTCCTGTGAACTGGGGACTCCATTTTTGGCTGGGGCAATGTTCCCTGGGCCCTCTGCAGCATGCCCCTACCAAGGAAGCCTGCTGTCCTGGAATAGGGAGAGGTGATCCCAAAGGGGCCCGATCCTGTTGTGGAAGAACTCCGGGGCCCGCTAGCCTGACACTCACCCACAGAAAGCTAGAAGCTGCACCTCCAGAGAGACAGGCATCACCTTGACCTGTAAAGGCCAGGGAGCAAGAGGGTAGACTCCTAGTCCCTGTGACTGAGGATGAGATAGGAGGAAAAAAAGCTGTTCCGTTCTCAAAGCCCAGAGCTTGTCTTTCCTCAAAATGCCCTGTCCACGAGATCAAGCAGCCTAAGGCCACGGATGTAGGAAGTGATTTGCCAGGAGAGTAAGCAGGAGGCCCTGTGCTTACTACTGTGCTTTAATCTTCTTAGGCCCGGCTGCTTCAGGGGCAGTCCGTTAGCCCGAGTCATGTGCTTCCTCTTCCTTTTCTTCCTTCTGGCTGGACTGAATCATGAGCCCTCCTCCTGGTCAGTCCTGAGAGAACGGGTAAGGAATATTTACAAAAACCTGTGGGTTTTGGACCTGGCCAGGGTGTCTGTTCAGGGCTGAGAGCAGTGGCCTGCACACTGAAGGGTTTGGGTGTAATTCCCAGTCAAGGGCAGGTACCTAGGTTGCAGGTTCAATCTCTGGGCCCAGTCAGAGCGTGTTTGGGTGTCAACCAATCAACATCTTACATCAGTGTTTTTTGGGTTTTTTTGTTTTGTTTTGTTTTTTTCTCTCTCTCTCCCCCTCTCCTATTCTAAAAACCAATGGAAAAAAATATCCTTGGGTGAGGATTAATAACAAGAAAAATCAATATATATATATATAAAAAAAAGCTGTGGGTTTTGAATTTTCCAGGGTCATGTACATGAACCCAGTCTCATCTTCTGTCTGTCTCATTTTAGATCTAAATAATCCAACCCCAGAAGCTTCTCACCCTGCTTCCAGGTCAGGAGACCATATGCCATACTCCTGGTTGTAGCTCCCCTCTTTCCTCTAAGCATCTCAACACTGAGCTGTCTGCTGCTGCTTTTGTAAACACCTAATTTAGTACAAATTACTTGAGCAATAGAGATATGTTAGCTTCTGCATACAGAGCCACCCCACCTCTCAAATAACTCTTGGTAGTCAGATCTGGCCAAACCTGTCTTAGGTTGGAAACAGAAACCTGATCCCAAGGACCAGGGCTGACCCGTAACATGCACTGACTTGAGAACGGAGGAAGGTTGCTGGGGCTTGGAGGCCAGGCTTGGTGGCCTTGTGGCAGCCTCTGCTTGTCCCCAAAGGTCTCCCATTTTAGGCCCAGGCCTTATCCTGGTGGAGAAGAACATGTAGCAAACAGTGGGGAGAAGTAGCAACTCAGGCCACATCTCAGTGATGGGGAGAAGAGAAAGCGGAATCCGCTGTGAGGCTTTGCTGGAATTTTGTCTGCTTAAGAGAGCTGAGATGCAAATCTTCTTAGATCCAGCTTCTTATCCTCTTTGTCAGGGTGGTTGAAAGAAGTTCCTCCTCAGAGTTTCTGTGGAGCTGTTCTTTCTTGGTCTGTGGAAGAGGCTGGCTCTGTCCTCCAGACAATGGCACACTTTTCTAGGCCTACAGTTGAGTTGAGCTGGAAGGACGGAAAAGCATGAGTCTTCGCCTCTTCCATTCAGACCCTGTCCTCACTGGAGCTCAGGCTTCAGGTCTCCGTGGTGGCTGACTTGGTGAAGCATCTAACACTGAGAGCTGTGACTCCTGCCATCATACTTATTCCATTCAGGCCCCTGGGGCTCTGGGCCATGAGCTCGCAGCTGAAAAACAAGGGCCAGGATGGCTCACCTCGATTTTGGACAGTTCTTCCAAAGACTTTCAAAGGACTTGGACGGCCTGGCTGAGAAGTTCCCAGACTTCTGGGTCCCTGGGAGGGGCTGCCTCCCTTTTCTAATTAGGGCCCCACTGACCAGTTACCTTCTCTGTTACCGGGAATTGGAGTTTAAGTAAACCATGTGCTGAAGTGCAGTGGTGGTTTTTAACCATTTCTCATCCCAATAACCCTGAGGGACACAGCACATTCCTACTAGAACAGTGGCTCAGCACAGGAGGGATTTTCAGTGGGGGGAAAGGGAACCCATGTCAGCATCTCCAGGACAGCATGTGAGTCTGATATGCCCCTTAGTAAGAATCGCTTGGCCAGTGTCTTATCTATTGGAATTAGAACTGGCCAATAGGATGGGGTGAGTCAAGACCCCTCATCTATACCAGTGGATTCACAAAGGAACATTGGTCCTTTTAAACCAAAAAAACCAGGTCTCTGAAGGCGTGGGCCGCAAGGGGTGAGTGTGCAGGCATATACGTGTGCAGTGGTGGGCCATGTGGAGGTGGGTGTGTGTGTCCAGGACTGGGTGCTGCCACAGACAGCTCCCAGGGCTTCTCCTGGCAGCAGAGAATTTCCTGCCGCTGTTGTGAGGGGGAATGGTGATTTCGGTGCCATCAAGCTTGGCGACAAACTGAGATGTTGGCAGTGCTCCGTCCTCCTGAGTCTCAGTACCAGAGTTGGTGGGGGGAAAGGGAGAAGGGAAAAGGAGAGAACGCCACTGTCCCAGAATCCAGCTTCTCCGCCCCATGCTATCCCGGGGGTTTCAGGTGAACGGCTGCGCTGTTCGGGCGGGCAGCCAAGATGTAGATGACATTCTCTCGCAGGAAGGTAGGCCAGTCCACAGATCTAGAATAGAATCAAAGGGCAGGTTGGTGAGGCTGGCTGCAGAGCCCGGAGGCTCATGGGACCCGATCCCAGTGTCAGTGCGGCTTGAGTTGGACAAAACTGCAGGAGCCCTGGATTGTGCCTGACATGGTTATGGCCAGCTGCGCTTCCAAGCTGACAGACCAGCTGGCAAGCCCTAAGGATCTGTGGTCAAATGTGCACTCCTGGAACCTGGTTTCTAGGGTGGACACTTGCTGTTTGGTGGTGACAATGGGTAATACCCTCTCTTTAAAAATAAATATATATATATATATATATATATATATATATATATATATATATATATATATATATTTTACAGAGAGGAAGAGAGAGGGACAGAGAGTTAGAAACATCTATGAGAGAGAGTCATCGATTAGCTGCCTCTTGTACGCCCCCCCTTGACCGGAATCGAACCCGGGACCCTTCAGTCCACAGGCCGATGCTCTATCCACTGAGCCAGACCGGTTTCGGCAATACCCTCTCTTATTTGTGTGTGTTGGGTGGTTGGGGGAGCACACAGCCGGTTGAGGAGATCCCACTCACCTGGACTCATGCTCTGTGGGCATCAGCGCCTTGTCCTGACTCTTGCTGCTGCCGCTGGCCGGGCTGCTGTCCGCTATGGGACCCACATGGCTGACGCTGTCGGGCATAAGGGCATGTAATTAGGAGTGAAAAGCCTGGCCCCTCCCACACTCTGGTGAGCCCATGTGCATGTCTAGGCTTTCTGATAGGGGGCGGCAGTTTGGAGTACAGACTGCCCGATGCCCTGGCCAATCCTCTGGCTGAACACAGGAGGATCCTCTCCTGGCTGTTGGCAGGAGAAACAGGGGAGGTACGTTTCCTATTCATGGCCATTTAGGTGGGAAAGGTGGGGGCAGGGGCTGGTAGGGAGCGGACCTGACACTGGAGGAAGGAGCCTGTGGGAGGTGTTTGTGGAACCACGAGTGCTGTGCACGGTGGCACTCGGCCTCGCTGATGGCGCTCCCGCTGCCCCAGGCCAGGAAGGTGGCCCGGGCTCGCTCCCGCTCCTTGACTGTCAGAAGCCTCAGCAGAGAGTTCTGAGAAAGAAGAGGCAAGTTAAGATCTTGGAGGTGAAAATATCTTGTAAACTGTCAAGCCACCGAGAATGTTACCTCCATCACCACCTCTGCAACCTCCCTCTGCGGCAGCCCAGAGCCTTTCTGGTGACACCAACCTTCGCAGTGGGGTCCAGTGCAGACCAGTCTTCCTTGGGCCGTCTCCTCAGCCTGGGCACTGGGTCGCCTGCCGCTGGAGGGAACCTGAGCCCTTTTCTGGTACTGGTCCCTACCCAGGGAGTGTCCCCCCAACCTGCCCAGCATGCTTCCTGGGAGGCTGCCACCCAGCATCCCACAGACATCCACCTCGGCTGGCCCTTACCTGGGGACGCAATTGCTGCAGAAGTAGGAGGGACTCATGGGACAGGAAGTCAGGCCACTCTATGTGTCCTCGATGGTCAGGGTCCAGGGCTGCAAACTGGCGGGCCGCCTGCTCCTCCTGCTCCCCGCTTAAGGCCCTGTCGCTGTCCCCCCGCTTTGCTGCTTGGTGACGGTAGCGCAGGAAGTCCGCCCGCGTCAGAGAGCAATCTGTGGGGAGGCACCACACGCTCGCCATGCCCGCTCCTCCCTCCTATGGGGCACCTCCATTCGCCTCTAGGGTACCCTCTGGAGCCCCCGTATCCACAGCTCTTGTGGCGTCTTTATCTCCCATCACTAGAATGACTCAGGCTGTGGTCAGGTGTGGGAACAGGGACCTATTTACCCTTTAACCCCCAAATTCCATGCCAGTCCTTTCCTCCTGTCCTGCTCCGCCCAGCAGCACCCTCCGGCCTTACCAGGGATGACTTTGCACTGCTGGAAGGTCTCTGTGAGGCTATACATTTCCTCCTCGGTTAGCAGCAAGTTGAGATTGTTCTGAGAAGAAAAAAAAAAGAAAAAGAGCTGAGTCAGTGTCCACATAGGCCAGTAAGAAAGAAAGGCCAAAGACCCAGAGAAACGGAAACAGTATTCCCGCAGAAAAGCAATTCTGAGCTCATGTAAACGAGTCTCTCAGTCACAATCGAGGAGAAAGGGGGAAGGCTTGCTTCCAGTTGCTCAACAGTGGGGCAGGGTCTTCCCCAGAACCCAGGAATCCTGACCCCAGACCCTGTTACTAAACACAGTTTCTTAAAATCATTTTCGGAGATTCTTCGGAAGTGCCTCGGGAAGCTGTTGCTGGGGAGAAAGTGGACGAGAAAGTGGGTGGAGTTGTGAATCCCTGGCCCACCCACTAGGGAAGCTCCATCTTTATCCATTTTAGGGAACTGGCGTCTGTGTTAGATTGCGCTCAAGAGTGTTTTAGCTTAAAATAACTTTAACTGTAACTGATCCTAATGGGTTGTATCACTCCACAGTGGTTTTGAAAGAGATGCCATTATGACAAAGTTCCTAAAAATCAAATGAGGTGGGTTTTTGTGTGTGTGTGTGTGTGTGTGGTGCCATAGAAGTTTTAATTTCAAACGAGCACTGATGTGTTATGTTGTTAACATTCATTTACAGTATTACAGTCTTCAAAATATCAAAGATTCTTCCGAGTAGGTTATTTCCCCTCTCCCCTAAAATACCAGCAAAGAATAGAAGGCAGACATTTCATAAGTATTCATTTGTGGATTTCATAAACAACTCAAACTGTTCTCTCAATAAACACTTACTGAGCACGTTGTACATGCCGGGCACAGTGGTGTGTAACACTGTGAGCTGTGCACTGCTGCTGGAGCATAGAATATGTGTGTGGGGAGCGCAGGAAGGAATGATAAAAGGGAGGGAAGGGAGTCAGAAGCCTGGCTACGAAGTGCCTCAACTGCCCCTTATGGAACCCCTGGAATTGGGCCTTTATTCTGAGAGCAAAGGGGGGTCACTGAAGGGTTTTGAAGTGTGGAGTGCCGCGGGGAGACTTTTGACTGCAGTGTGGGAAGTGGGTGAGAGGGGCCAAGTCTGGAGGCATGGAGAGCAGTGAGGTGGCTGTTGCGATAGTGGAGATAAGGAAAGATGAGCGGCTAAACGAAAGCATGAGAATGGAGAGCTGAGAGGTATTAGGAAGTTGAACCAATAGGACCTGTTGATTTACTAGATGTGAGGAATGAAAGAGAGAAGTAAGTTGGGGTGGGTGACGGGTGAAGTGGTATTCACAGAGGTAAGAAATGGGAGGAGAACAGGTTTTGGGAGAAAGAGAAGTTCATGGGGGGAGGGCATGTTGAATATGAAGTACATGGAAAGCTCGGAGATGGCTATAAGTCCAAGAGACAGAGAACATTTAGGTTTGGACACACAGATTTGAGAATCATTAGTGTTTAGATGGTGGCCGGGGGAGGCCAGGGATGTTGCTAAAACTCCTACGATGCACACAGCCCCCACAACAAAGAATTATTGTGGCCCGAATGTCAACAGTCCTGAGGTAGAGAGATCCGGTCCTAGCTCTCCTCGGGGACAGGGTTGGGAAACTCCTAGGTCACTGCCTAGAAACCAGTGTCCTAAGCCTGGGCCTCCAGAAAAAGTGCCATGTCCTTGGGGAGCAGCAGCCCCCGGCCCCTGCGGTCCAGGCTCACACAGTAGTGGCAGCTCCAGCCTGTCTCCGTGTGTGCCATCTCGGTCACTTCTGCTGCGCCGTCTCCTTGGATGTAGCCCATGCGGCGCAGGCAGCCGTCATGGAAAACCCTCGTGCAGACCCTGCATGGGAAGAGGCTCTCGGCCGTCCAGACCTCACAGATGTCACACATCTCATCATTGACGACCTGGGGAAGGAAAGAAGGCAGGAATGAACAGGGATGTGCAGCAAGATCCTCCGGCCACCAAGCCCAGAGCTACTCCCATAGGGCTGTCTCCCTGGAGCAGCCTAGAGCAGGGGCCGGCAAACTCAGTCAACAGAGCCAAATGTCAACAGTATAACGATTGACATTTCTTTTGAGAACCGAAAACTGACTTCTGGGCATGGGCCACGAAGTTTTCATCGCACTGTACGTGCGCACCCGCACCTGGTATTTTGTGGAAGAGCCACACTCAAGGGGCCAAAGAGCCGCATGTGGCTCTCGAGCTGCAGTTTGCCAACCACTGGCCTAGAGGAACAACTCCAGCTGGAGGCAGTATTTGTCATCTTTCTCTGGAGGACAAGAACCAGCAGGCTCTCCCAGCTGCTCAGGCCTGTGTGGCCATGTTTCTGAACAGGATTGCTATTACCATTTTTGGAAGGAATAATCTGTTGTGAGAGATTGTCCTAGGCCTTGCAGGACACTTAGCATTCTGGTTTTCTGGGCACCAAATACCACTAGCAACTCCCACAGTCATTGTGACCTCCCCAAATTCTCCCACCCCACTCACTTCCAAATGCTCCCTACTCAGGGCAGCGCTATCCCGCAGGTGGGAAGGCTGACAGAAGACCTGCCATCGTATCATTCCTTGTCACCCACTGCCCCAGGTCTCTCACTGAGACTAATCCGGAATGTAACTAACAATCTCATTCTTGTGGAAGAAGCTCGAAGATTGCTCTAGAGTCAGCTGGCTTTGAGTCTCATGTTAACCATTACCCAAGGCCTCCCTGTCCTGCTTCCTGATCCTCAGAAGGTCTAAACAGGGGTCCTCAAACTTTTTAAAGTGGGGGCCAGATCACGGTCCCTCAGAGAGCTGGAGGGCCGGACTATATGAACTACTAATTCCTACTGTAACACCTCGGCTGCGCTCACTGCCCAAAAAAACCTGGCGGGCCGGATCAGACTCCTCTGCGAGCCGCATGTGGCCCGTGGGCCGTAGTTTGAAGACGCCTGGAACACTTGGTGAATCTTCCCTAAACTGGACACTCACAGGCTCTCTGGGTTCCAAGCAGATATCTGGAGGCTTGTCATCGTCCAGCTTCCGGGTGGGGCGGATGAAGGCAGGAGGGGTGAAACGGTTGTTCCTGTCAAACTCCTCAGGCTCCACTCCACGCCCGTCTCGGAGCCTCTCCCAGGCGGCGCGGTTGACGCTGCTCTCTTCTTGGAGCACCGAGGTGCTTGCCTCTGCTTCTTTCTCCTCCTGCACCTCCTGGACAGAGCCCTCCGCAGTGTCATGGTGGGACCCCGGGAGCTCACCTGTGCGTTGGATGGGAGGCCTGTCCCGCAGCCCATCCTTGAAAGCAGACACAGCCAGGCTCACCTTCTGCACCTGCTCCACCGTCTGCCGCTTGGACATCAGCACCCCCATGGCTCTGGAGCAAAGAGCAGAGGGCCCGGGCTCAGCGAATGGCTGGCCATGCTGAGCCAATCAGTGTCAAGCATTTACCTAAGTGGCAAGTGTTATTAAATGGCCTCTCTCTCTCTCTCTCTCTCTCTCTCTCTCTCTCTCTCCCTCCCTCCCTCTCTCTCTCAGAGAGAATGGAAGGGAGGGAAGGAGAGAAACATTGATGTGAGAGAGACATCAATTTGTTGCCTCCTGCACATGCCCTGACTGTGTGGGGATTAGATCTGCAACCCAGGGATGCGCCCTTGATCGGGAATTGAACCTGTGACCCTTAGTATGTGGACTGATGTTCTAACCACTGTGTAACACAGGCCACTGCAGTTTCTTTCTGTTTTAAACTCAGTATCGGTGGGGTGGAGAGAGCAATTGTTCAGGAGTCAGAAGACCTTGGTTCTACTTCTGACTGGTCTTGTGACTTGTTTTTTGTTTTTTTATCCCCATCTATGAAATGAAGGCTGTCTGCTCACTGCGCTTCATGGGGCTGCCATGAAGATAACATTAGCTCATGGGCTTACCTGTGCTGAGTAGACTGGAAAGCAGGATGGTATTCTATCATCCTTCCTGTCCCAAAGCCAATTAGGTTCAGGGATCCCAGGCCTCTGCTACTTTGAGATAGTTGGAGACCTCCGAGCCCAAGTCTCTTTTGCCCCACAAGGCTTAATATAAGACTATAGCCACATATTTCAGCCTTCTGAATGAGGGGAAGTTCCTGTGTACAACCCATCCAGGGATAAGCCACATCAAATAAACTCCTATTTCCAGGGGATTCCTGAATAGGTAGTCAGAAAACACTACCATGTGGTCAAAGTCACAAACTCTTTTGCCCCCTAATTAATAGCTGTGCCTCTTTAAGGGTTCATTTATCTTTCGGCTGACCCAACAACAGACAACTGGCCCATTACAAGCTCTAAGGTGCTTCTCACCTTTGTAAGGCTTCATTAATGTCACTCCCACATTTTTTCTGCTTTGATTTTTCTGAATCTTTCAAGAAAGGTCATTTCCTGGACAGGTTAAAAAGTAACGTCATCCCTGCTCTTCCTCTGCAGAGCGTGGCACTGGAAAGTGAGTGCATTGCAAAGCTGTTTGCCATTTCCCAGCCTGAGGGGCCTTCGTGGGATTCGGCGGGGGAATGCTTGTTCTACTTAAAGTGGAGCAGAGACCATTTTAGCCCTGCTCTGTCCATTATAATCAAGGCTTTTTGAACAGTACTTTGTGCAAGGCACTAGCCACTCATCATAGGAAATAGAAGACAGGAGAAGAGTCTTACCACTCAAGCTACTTAATATCAAAACTCAAAGAAGAATAAGACAAGGTTCTGAAGTGCTTAAACGAAGGTGAGACCACACTACTGGGAGTCGGCGTGGATCCTGAAGGATGGGTTGCAAGTTACCCTTTGCTTGTGGGAAAAGGTGACAGAAGGTTTGGAGAAAGGTTAGAGCCAATTAGAAGGCTATGATAATAGTCTAGGCAAGATGTAGAAGGTTTAAACAGAAATGATGGCAGCAGGAACGATAATGAATAAGTGTATTTGATACCATGTAAATAGAATTGGAGAAACTTAGGAATAAAATAACTAACTGGTCAAGGGTAAAGAGAGAGAGGGCAGTTTATATTTATTTCCCAATTTTATTGAGCATATAAGTGACATCACATTGTGTAAGTTTAAGGTGTACAATGTGATGATTAGATTGACACACACACACACACACACACACACACACACACACACACTAGGGGCCCAGTGCACGAAGTTGTGCACCTTGAAAGGAACTGTGGGCCACAAGGCTGCTGTGGGCACAGAGGCAGGTCTCGGTCCGTCCTCCAAACCCTACCCAGCACCTCCTGCCATGGCCCCAGTCCCCTCTCTGCCAGCAGCCCCACTTCTGCCACTGCTCTCATGTGCTGAGGTGCTGGTCTGCCCGTACCCACTGAAGGCCGGTGCCCTCAGTAGGTGTGAGTGGCAGCTGCTGATCGTCCTCAGGAGCAGGGGGAGGTGGAGAAGCCCTCAGGGGCGATCAGGCTGGTGGTGAGCAATCGGAACTGGCACCCAGCACCAGCAGGGTGCAAGCGACGGCTCCAGTGCCAGCTGCGGGTATGAGTGGGGCTGGTGCTGACAGTGGGTTCAAGAAGTGGCTCTGGCACTGCCAGCAGGTGCGAGAGGTGGTTGCTGGCCCCAATCGCCCCTCAGGAGCAGGAGGAGGTGGAGAAGCCCTGAGGGGAAATTGGGACCGGCAGTCGCAGCTAACACCGCTGATGGCACCAAGTGATTGGGGCTGGTACTGGGTGCCAGCAGAGGGTGCAAGCAGGGCTAGCGCCGGCAGCAGATGCAAGTGCCAGGTGGAACCATGGTGAGTGGGAGCAAAGAATTTTCAGTAACCATCAGAGGCTCACCTTGGTCTGGTGCCTCCGCTCACCTGCTCCACCATCCCGCCATGGCTGATGTGCGCCATGTTTTGCACACCCCCCCTGGTGGTCAGTGCACGTCATAGTGACCACTTGTTTGGTTGTTCTGCTGTTCGGTCTATTTGCACATTAGCCTTTTATTATATAGGATTGTGAAGTTTTACCATAATGTTACATCTTTTACCTCACATAATTATTATATTGTTGTTATGGTGAGAACATTAAAGGTGAACTCTTACTGCAACTTTCAAGTATATATTGTAATACAACATTGTTAACTAAAGTCATCATGCTGTGCCTTAGGTCCTGGAACTTACTTATCTTGTAACTGAATGTTTCTACCCTTTGGCCAGCATCTCCCCACTTCTCCTATCCCCCAACCCCTGTTTCTATGAGTTCAATGTCTTTAGATTCCACATATAAGTGAGACTATATAGTACTTCATTCAGTCTTTTTCTGACTTATTTTTAAAAATAATTTTTATTGAATTTATTGGGGTGACATTGGTTAATGAAATTATATAGGTTTCAAGTGTACAATTCTTTAAAATGTGATCTAATGAGGGTAACCAGCCGGGGTGGGGTCAGGGTTGGGTGGAGAGGAAGGCGCAGGTGTATATGTTAGAGTTTTTGAGGAGGCCATGGATCCAGGGGTTCTTGAAGAGGAAGGGCCTATGGTCCCCTCACAAGCACAGCTGTGCTCTACAGTTAGGTGGGAAAGCAAGTCCCAACCAGCAGCGAGAAGAGCAGGAACAGGCTCGCCTCATCAAGAGGGACAGTGCAAAACGACACGCAACCTTCACTGTAGACCTTCCTCGTGATCAGTTACTATTTCCAAGGGCACAGTGTTTTCCTCAGAAACCTTTGGAGGTATGTTTTTCAAAATTTGTAACTGTTGACCCATAGTAAGAAATATAGTTTATGATATGACCCTGAACACACACAGTTACAAACACATGTTCATAGATCTGAAACGGAACCCAAACTTTTGTGAAACAATCCTCCTTTTACTATATGTTTTCTGAGGTTTTCTATTTCCTCTATCCTATTTCATTAAAATAACCCTGATAGTGTCTCTCTAAAATTATTTCTTGACTTGCTAATGGGTCTGGACCTGCAATTTGAAAAAAAACACAGCCTTAGGATCATTTTACATTTTTTATTATAGAGGACTACACTTTTTGTTGTTGTTAATCCTCATCCAAGCGTACTTTTCCATTGTTTTTTTTAGAGAGAGTGGAAGGGAGGAAGAAAAGAGAGAGAGAGAGAGAGAGAGAGAGAGAGAGAGAGAGAGAGAGAGAGAGCATGTGAGGGAGATACACTGATTGGTTGCCTCCCACATGCTCCCCAGCTGGGGCCAGGGATCAAACCTGCAACCCAGGTACATGCCCTCGATCAGTAATTGAACCCGCAGCCCTGTGGTCTGTGGGCTAATGCTCCAACTACTGAGAACACCAGCCAAGGCTACACTTTTGTCTTTTGATTTAAAGATGGTTACCTATAAAAGACAAGGACAACATTGTGAAGGTATAAGGTAACTTTCCCCTTGGCTAAAGTGATATAGGAACAGAATTCTCAAGCTTGTCTTAAGAATCTATGTGGTTGGAAGGTCTAGCAGAGGTGGACAGCTGCTAATATTATCTTTGACTGGGGAAAACCCTACTCTATGAAAGGCTGATCTTCTGCCCCTTAGACATATTTAAAATAATATTTATTAGGGTATTGTTTACAGATATTTAAAGGTGGAAACAAACTCAACAGGAATCCAGTCTAGAGCAATGATTCTTACGTGGCAAACTGGGCAGGTGGGAGGTATCTATAAGAAACCCAAGGTGCCCTGGCTAGTGTGACTCAGCTGGTTGAGCGTCCTCCTGTGAACTGAAAGGTTGCTGGTTTGATTCCTGGTCAGGAACATGCCAGGTTGCAGGTTCAGTGCCTCTCTCTCTCTCTCTCTCTCTCTCTCTCTCTCTCTCTCTCTCTCTTTCTTTCTCTCTCTCTCTCAAAACATTAAAGAGGAGAGAGACTTGAGAGGGAGGGAGGGAGGGAGGAGAGAGAGAGAGAGAGAGAGAGAGAGAGAGAGAGAGAGAGAGAGAGAGAGTGTGTGTGTCCCAGAGGAGGTGGATAAATGAGTGAACTGGAAAAGCACACCAATTATAATATTTGTTTGGAAAACAAACATTTAAAGCCATTACCCCCCTTCTTTTGAAACATGCTCTATAACACAGGAGATATTTATAGTATCTTTTTGGTTGTTGGGGATACATAGAAGGTAGCTCTCTAAATAGTTTGGGAAGCCCCTGCCAGACGTAGCATCAGAAGTTTAGGGAGCAGTCATCACATTTATATTTATCAGCAAGAAGACATGGGTTGGAAAAAAAAAAGTTCAAAAGCACTTATTTGGAAACCTGGAATAACCATATGCAACTCGCTTTTCCAAGACTGATTTATTGGAGGAAAATCAATTATATGCTTTTGATTCTTGCTGGCTTTTTCGGATAATGTGTAATATGAGTTCTGAACAAAGACTAGCCAGTTAGAAAGGTTAATCTGAACGTGAACAGACTCA